TCATGGCAATAATAATGATGATAAATAATAACAATAATGACACTGATAACAATAAAAGTAAAACATTAGCTACGTCGTTTATGAATGAAGATTTCGCTGGTTTTCGAGTTAGAGCAGCAGATGATGGACAGGAACTAGTTCTTGAGGTGATGCAGTGTCCGCTTCCATGCGGACTTAATTTCAGTGTAGTGACAGGGCATGTCAGTGGATACTCTGCCAATGACTCACAATAAATATATGTGTGTGTGTGCGCGTTGATAATGTGATAATGTCCTTTGGTGTTTACTTAGGAACATTTAACCTTACCTTTGTGTGAAACACAAAGAAAAACATTATCCATAAATTATTTAAGATTATAGGACTGGCAAAGACAAGGATAAAGCGAAGGAGGCCCCACTCCCCCAACAAGTACCCCCAAAAGGTCACTCCTGAGCACCCCCCCCCCCCCCGCCCACCACATCGAAAACTGAGAACGAAGGCACGTAATGAAATCGTGCTGAGCAAGTGATAAAAGAAACAGCGAATGAAAGAACAAGAAAACACACGTACAGACAAAAGCAAAACGGTCCTGTGTTTTATTAATCTTCCATTCGTTATTCTATTCACAAGGCAGGGCACAAACAGCCAAGGAAAACAGATCAAGGCACAAGTAAGCTACAAGATTCTACCAATACCAAATGCATATTGTTGTGCCTCAGACTCCTCCGTGATCCTATGTCCGACGGAGGGAAGGAGAAACAAAAACCCATACACATACATACACACACATATTCATGTATATCATTTATCTACTTATGTATCTGTCGATTTTTATCTAGCATGAAAATCTGAATATAAGGTTGGGTATCTACTTGTTGCGTATTAGTGTGGACTGGCAAACGCCGTAAGATACCCAGTTATGCAACATGTATCGAGTATCGATGGTTCATTCAAGGCAGACAAAAAGGAATTGTTAGGTCAATAGATTTTATTCTCCAAATTCACTGAATTAGTGTGGTGCATCGTATGTGCTGATAGGGGGGCTGACATGGGAGACTTCAGCAACACCAGCATCGAATCCTCCAGCAGCACCGGCGTCGAAGCCTCCATCAAAGCCAGTATCAAAGCCTCCAGCGACGCCAGAGTCAAATCCTCCAGCTGCACCGCCATCGAAGCCTCCGGCGACTCCAGCATCAAAGCCTCCCGCAGCATCTGGCGCGCTGTATTCCCCACCGATGACACCTCCATCAACGCCTCCTACACTAATGGCACTTTCAGGAAGCACACCCTTCCCGGTCAAGACGAAAGGAAGCACACTGCCGCCTCCAACGCCGCTGCCGCCGTCGCCTCCAGTGCCACCGAGATCGACTCCCAGCCCGCCGTCGCCTCCGGAACCGTATCCTTGCGGCGCGGCAGACGCCACGCACACCAGGAACTGTTGAGTTTTAAATTAAATATTATATTTCTGCACAGTGTGCATGATTTTGGCAAAGAGAGAGAGAGAGAACTAGGCACACAGGAACAGAAATAACCAGAGAGAGTAAATTTGAAAGTAAAGTAACCTGAGTAAAATTTGAAATGCAAAATATACGAATCCTTTAGCATTAAGCAATCTCTAACTATCAAAAATTCATAATTTCTAACTAACCAAGATATTAAGGGGATTCATTATTATAGATATACTGCAATCCAGTTACTGGGTGACTAAGCGTCTAGTCAGCGCGGCGTGCCTCTGCTTGCCTCAGTTTCAGTATTTATACTTCAGTGCCAGCTCATGCAAGGCCTAAAAGGATGCCAGATTTCATTGTTGCTATGAAGGATATCGTTGTAAGAAGTAGTATCCGTTGGGATATTCGTCATACACACCTTTATGTATCAATACATTTATAAGGAAGTACGCTTTTGTGTAGATTTGCGAGAAATACTGTAATGCCTCTAACCGGTAGAGTGAGTTGTTGGACTGCTTCTGATTCAAGTATTTCGGGTATTATTAGCACTGCTGATATTAATAATAATGAGGCGTTTGCTACTAACTAATACACGTATACATGCTTGTGTATACCTGTACATATACGAATATATATGTATGTGTGTAAGTGTATATGTATGTATATACGCATACAAATATATACACCTATGTGTATATGTATATGTACATCCTTGTATGTGTACAATTATATTATTGTCTATCATGCACACTGAGACGGAAAGTACAATTAAACTGAATTACGTGAATCTGCAATATCTAAAAATCAGTCTTTGTCAATTTTTCTCTGTCTGTATTTCTGTCTTCCTCTGCTTTCACCAATAGCAACGAAATATTTTCTCATAATCAAGTACTGATATATTATGATCATTTAGATCAATCAAGATCAATGAAAGTGGAGTTTATTTTATGAGATAATTTTATTTTAGGAGATAAGATCACTGAAAATTAATTAGTCAAATGATTACATTAGTTGTTATCTTTCATATTACTATTGTTGATATCCATTATCATTACTTTTCTCAAGAATCTACACAAATCTATTTATAGACCTGAATAAAATGAATGATTCTTTAGGCAGCGCTGAACTCATAAAACTATCTATCCATCTCTCAGTCGATCTATCTATGTACCTATCTGTCTATCTGTCCATTTATCTATTTATTTGTGTGTATGTTTGTGAATGTGTGTGTGTGATAGTAATAACAATGAAAAACAAAAACAAAAAATAACACTGATATCGATAAAGTTAACAAAATCAGGCACCGGTACTGCCACTACCTCCGTCGTTTATAAATGAACGCTTCATTTCACTGGTTAACGAGCGAGAGCACCAGAAATGGACAGGAGCCAGTTCTTGTGATGACGTAATTCCTCTTTCCATGGGGACTTAGTTCCGCAGATGGGGCATGTTCATGGGAAATTGTGTATTTGTCAGTAATTTAAAGTTCATATTTATCAGTATATCTACATGTCTGTATGTATACAAACTGCATTTATATCCACATATCATTATTTATACCTATGTCTATTTCGATATATTTATATATGTATGAGTATTTATATCCGTCCATATATCTGCCTGTATTATTTATGTATTTATGTATGTATGCATGATGTATGTATGTATATAGCTATCTATATGCCTATAGGGAAAGGAGTGTGATAAATATAATATAAAAATCATTAGATGGGTACACACACTCGAAGAGAATCGTCAATTGTAGCGTCTGACGTCAACCAGAAAATTGAGCTTCGAGAAGATGAATCAGGAATGGCAGTAATTGTTTCCTGGTTACCTGGGCTCTCGCTTAAGTGTTGAGCAGTTTGCCTTCTTCGGCTTCGAACTGTATTGCCAGTGGAAGAGGGCGGGGGGGGGGGGGGGGGGAGAATCATTGAAGAGGACTATTTGAATATTCTGATTATGTTTAACTGAGGATGTGTTAAGACACATTTTCCCTTATGGTAATGCTAATTTAGAGAAACCCATTGATGTAGGGGATTTCTGAATTTTCATACACGCAAACTCACACACAAGCACATTCACATTCACACTCATTCACACCTACACACTCACACTCACAATCATACACACACATACACATTCAGACGTATACACGTATGGTATATACTGATTAGTGAAATATATTCGTCTGCATTGACGAATATTTAACATTTTCTTTGTGTGAAACGTCGGATCCCGTTGCGACTGAGAGAGTGTAACTCCCTGTCTGTAAAAGAAGCTCATAAATCATTTAACGAATATAGGGAAGGGAAACGACAAGGATATAGCGAAGGAGAGACCACCTCCCCTACCTGAAGTTCGTCCTTTAACCGCCCCCGCCAACGGCATCGGTAACTGAGAGCGAAGGCAGAGCATGTGCTGGATTCGTGATGACCTGTAAAAAAAAAAAAATAAAAATAAAAATAAATAGATAAAAAAATAAAATAAAGAGGAAAAAAATATATATATATACCAAGGCGATGTAGCGGAAAGGTCTTTGGTATAATTATGTTTTCTTTCTCTTCCCTTCGTCGTTTTATTAGCAAGGCAGAACGTAAGCAACCAAGGAAAACAAACCCAGACACAAGGAAGCTACAGGAATCCACCAACACCAAACATGTACTCCTCTGTGGAATTCTGTCAGACTGAGGGAAGGAGGTGTAACACAATGGAGGAAAATACAAGAACGGGAAGTGTATAGACAATACCTTCACAATCACACACATACACCTCTCTTTTATTCTGCCAGTCTGTGTCTCTCTTTCTCACTATACATATATATAGAGTGTTTGTATAAGTTCTCTACTTATTTATCTGTCTATCTTCATCAATATTACTTTTGCACACATACAAAACATATTTATTTTTTGCGTTATTGTGGACGACCAGACTTCATATTAAATGCCAAAAGGTGATACAAAGATACGCAACGGACATGGCTGTCCAATTACCGTTCCATTCTGTGTCACGTCAAAGGGATGGTACAACACTTGCTTAACCAGTGTGAAAGGGGAACGTTTAATAATTTTGGCCGTTTATGAATCTGCTACTACTACTAAGTATTAATAATGATAATAAATTAAGGTCCTTCCAAATTAAATCTTGGATATCACAGTCAACAAACACTTCCTGTATATAGATTTGAAGCCCACCAACGTGGCGAGTTCATTCACTGAATTATGGACGAAGCTGCTGCTAACAGCTACGGCCGTAGCCATGAAGGCCGATTACAATCCCATGTCCCCTTGTTTTAATGCGGTCGCGTAATGATGGTACGGAAAAGTGGATAACAACATATCATGTAACTGAGTAATGCGTAACGGTAATAACATTCGAGGATATGCAACAGGTGGATATCTGCCTGTCCATTCATTGTCCACCATGACACTGGTGGGTAAATAGTGCCGAGAGTCTTCTCTGTATGAAAAGAAACATATATAGTCAGATGAGAGGCAACACTCGCTCTTCACTCGAGTACTGATGATACACTCAAGACAGGCAGAAAGAATTATTAATTTGATAGTCTTTTATTCTCCTTGTTGGCACAATTAGTGTGGTGCATCGTATACGCTGACAGGGGGGCTGACATGGGAGACTTCCTCGCCATTGCCAACACCAGCATCGAAGTCTCCAGCAGTACCAGCATCGAAGCCTCCAGCTACATCGACGTCGAAGCCTCCAACAGCACCAGTATCTGGTGCGCTGTATTCCCCACCGATGGCACCTCCATCAACGCCTCCTACTCCACCGATAGCACTTTCAGGAAGCACACCCTTCCCGACCAAGACGAAAGGAAGTACACTGCCGCCTCCAACGCCGCTGCCGCCGTCGACTCCAGTGCCGCCGAGATCGACTCCCAGCCCACCGTCGCCTCCGGAACCGTATCCTTGTGGGACGGCGGACACCACGCACGCCAGGACCAGCACAGAGGCGCCGCGGATCTGTTATTTACGTCATGAAAAGGTAGAACTATTTCTAAAACTTTCACACATCGTATATAGTAATTGATAACAAAACAGAGAGAAATCATTATAGAAAATCATAAGATCATCATTATAGAAAATCATAAATCCCATTTCCCCATTCAAATGAGGAAACATTTATCAAATGTTGACATTTTCTCACCAAATTCTTCAGTGGATTCATGATTATCGAATTTCTGTTAATCCAGTTAATGGATGACTGAGCGCTTAGGTAGAGCGGTGTGCCACTACCTACCTCCGGTTCAATATTTATACCTCAGTGCCAGCTCCTACAAGGCCTAAAAGGATGCCAGATTTTATTGTTACTATGTAGGATATCACCTCCGGATAAAGCCTCGGGAAGAATATACGATAAATGAAAATCTAATTTATGTATATTAATATAATTTGTATATATTTATATTAGATATTCATATTCATATTTCATTTGTTTGGCCTTTAATGAACTCAAACAGGTTTAATTGGTAATATTCTGGGAGTCTCCTTTAAGAAACCAATCATATGCAAAAAGAGAAAAAAAATATAATGCGTGTATTACCAGAAAAAAAAAACTATGGCACTGTCTTTCATTGCTCTCATACAGGTTTCTGGCACCAGCAGAATAGAAAATCGTAGATCACCGGCTTTTTTTTCTCAGGTTAATGAAGTGATATTCAGATGATGGATTAGAGCATGTTTAGACTGAATCAGAACAGAAGAGAGACTGAACATTAGAAAGAGAAACTAAACGCAGAATCAAAAATCCAATTTCAGAAAGAAAAAAGTAATTATTATCATCATCGTAATAGAAAACAGGTACCAATATTGAAGCCAAGATTATTAGTGAGGATTCCACTGGTTTTAGGAGTGACAGACTCAGCAGGCAGACAAGACAGGAAATGTACATTCATCAGTAACTTATAAGCAGACATGATTATAAATAGGTGCATAGGACAGACAGGCAGGTATCCAGATGTCTATATGTATACATACTGTATAGCTGGAAATTATTCTCAACACCTTTTTTAGTAGAAAGTTTGCAATTATCATTCATATCTATAAAGACAGATGCAGATAAATATAAAGACAGAGCGACAGGCAGATAGATAGGTAGACAGATATATCAGTAATTTGATATATAAATGCTATACGGATACATACTGTATATTTACAAAATAATTCTTAACGATGTTTTTCATTGTCTTTATTACAGTTTATCTCACTGGTATATCCAAAGGTCTGTATCTAGCTGGTGCACATAAGGTCATCTAGACAACAGGGCTTCGCCAAGGGGAATTACGAATGGTGCTGTTTACTTCCTGTATCTACGTACAGCACGAGTCGTTTGCTTTCATTAAGAATACACAAGAAAAGTATTTTATTTAAGTGGGAAGACATACATACATATACATATTCACACACGTGCACACACACATTTATATGGGATAACCAGTATGTATGTCTTCTAGAACATTCTTTATCAGTAGATAAGATGTTTATAAACGAACATTGAATCCTGGTGAATCGTTGGATCTTGGTGAAACTAGAGAAACAAATTACCTTATGACAAGAGTTTACTCTAATTTTTATCGGTAATAGTGGTGGTCTGTCCAAAGGAGACAAAAATAGACAAAAACACAGTATAATTACTATCCTTTATTATCTATTCCAACAAATTTAATGTGGGGCAATATATTCGCATCCAGAGGGGCTGAAAGTAGAGACTTCAGGGCCTACAGCAGGCGCGGTGTATTCCTCGCCGATGGCAACATCAGCAGGGCCTCCAGCAACACCACCGTCGAATCCTCCAACACCACCAGCACCAACTCTTCGCGCACTGTATTACCCATCAGTTACACCTCCAGCACCACCAACAGTTACTCCACCAGTGGCACTTTCAGGAAGAACACCGCTGCTAACCAAGACGCCGCCGAGATCGACTCCCAGCCCGCCGTCGCCTCCAGCACCGCATCCACGTGGGACGGCGGACGCCACGCACACCAGGGCCAGCAGGGAGGGAGGTCGCAGCTGTCATGTTTGATTTATTTATTAGTGATACTTCTTGTTGGAGGATTAGAGTAAAAAAGAAGAAATTGACGGATGAATGCGAAGCTATATGGCACACACACACACACACACACGCATATCTGTATATATATATATATATATATATATATATATATATATATATATATATGCATATGTATATATATGTATATATATGCATATATCCTTATGTATATGTACATATATACATATGTAAAATATATACATGCACATTTATATATATACATATATACTATATATATGCATATGTATATATACTCGTATAAGCATACGTATATACATATATATGCATATATACATACACATATATATGCACATATATAAAATATGAATATATACATATGTATATATATTCCCATATCTATATGTATAATATACATACACACGTATGTATGTAATGAGAGGAAGAGAGAAATACAAGCAAATATTGATAATAATAGATGCATATATCAATAGTTTTCTTAAGAAAAGATTGCGAGTTCATGATTATAGGATTTCTGTGATCCAGTTGATAGATGACTAAGCGTCTAGTCAGTGCAGCGTGCCACTCCTTGTATCCGCATTAAGTATCTATACTGGAGTACCAGTTCATGAAAGGTTTCCTCGTTAACCGGAGCCGCCATTCCGTGGTGAGGGGCTTGAGGGCTTGACCTCGTGAGCCGGACCAGAGGGCTACCAATATTGGAAGGGTCAGCAGTGAGGGATGAGACAAAATGGCTCGCAGGTGCACCAGGTAAGGAGAAAAGTCCTCAATTTGGCAAGGAAATGTTACCTAGTAAATGTGAAAGTATTTCATACAACACATTCTTTGCGGTGCGGATGGTGTGTCCATTATGGATCTTCATATTTTTGAAGTCCATCTCAAGATAGTTGAAGTATGTCAATGGTATCCTGATAAAATAAAAGGATAGAATGATCTGCCGCGTCAACAAACAAGGCCATTAGCGGCGAATACATTGGATTGAAATGTTAGAATATCTAAAACTTGAAAAAATATATATATCAGTAAATGTCTTATAAGTAAAAATAAATAACGAATATTATACTAAACATCAAAGCATAAATATGACTTTCTAAATGAATAACATTATTGCATAAACAATATGCATTATTAGATTTTAATAAAAATATTAGTTACCCTTAGGAAACTAATAAGACCTATGTCACAATTCTCCCCCAAAACATTTTTCAGTGTATATGAGGGAGACAAGTACACACGTCTTTGGTCGGAGAATGCTGGACATCTTTCCACTACTTGTGCAACCACTAATGACTCTTGGCATCCCTCATTAAGTGCTTCACTTCTAGCCATCATCACGCAAACCCGATTCTTAGTCTTGCTAACACAACTTCTTGTCGGTTGGGATGGATGCTTGTCACCCAACTGCCAAGGTCCTCTCTAATCTCTCGCTGTTTGTTTCTAGAGGCATGCCTCCATTGTTCCCTCCATTTATCGCAAAGACAATTCCCGATGCTGGGTTTCAAGTCGGCGTGTGGGAGAGGAAAACCAGCATCACAGGGCTGAGCGGCAACTGCCTTGCCTCCGATCATTCCCACTGATACCAACACATGCTGGCACCTAACACATAGTTATGTTTTTACGTGCTGACATCACTGCAAGCCAATACTGAATCTCCCTCTGGACTGGATGTAGTGATTGCTTGTAAGACACTACGAGAGTCGCAATATATTGCAATAGAATGGTGTGTAAGATCTCTAGTCATCTTGACTGCTGCAAGGATGGCATGTAACTCAGCTGTGAAGATTGAGGCTGCCGAAGAAAGATTGGCAACTGTAATCTTCCTCCTACTCACTGCTGCAAAGCCCACATCATTTTTGAAGCATCTGTCTATATTACATCTGATCCTTAGTACTTAGATGAATGATAGTTTAATAGCAGGAACGATAGTCTTAATGCCAATGAGGTTTTCGTGGATAAGAGTATAAAATTATTTACAAAGAACTTTAATAACAAAACGCTACTTCGTCAGCATCCGAGTTTCAATATCACGTTGTATACATACTTACACACATACATACATATATACGTACAGATATAGAAATACATGCATACACACACAAATAGATACAAGCACATCTATTTACTGAGAGTGCTAGTCATAAGGGAAAAACGTTTCAAAAGTCGGCGAAATATAATCTAATTCACAATTTCAAATCATCCCTGGCAGGTATTGAGCGACTTCGACGAAGCTTGTTATTGTACTTGTTTTGAGGTTCATACAACTAAGAAAATCTGAGGCTGGAGAAACGAAAGACGTTTCCATTCTGAAGTTTTTACTTCACCTACATCATTATTTCAGGTTTACTAAGAATGTCAGATCAATAATTATTTCTATTGTTTATTATCCATCACAAAAAAATCAGTGTGGTGCAGCATATTCGCTGCCAGGGGGGCTGACAAGAGAGACTTCAGGGACTGCAGCCGGGGCGGTGTATTCCTCGCCGATGGCAACATCAGCAGCACCTCCGACAACTCCAGCGTCGAAGCCTCCAGTAACTCCAACGTCGAAGCTACTCACAGCATCAACATTTGGTGCGCTGTATTCCCCACCAACGACTCCTCCAGCAGCGCCACCAGAGGCACCACTACCGATGGCACTTTCAGGAAGCACACCCTTGCCGACAAAGACGAAAGGAAGCACGCTGCCGCCTCCAACGCCGCTGCCGCCGTGGCCTCCTGCGCCGCCGA